ATGTTTAAGCTAAAAAGAAAAATATATATCGAGGCCACTGATTTTGCTATATTGTTCTTCTAGTCTTGTATAACTATGATTAAATAAAGGATGATGAGTCTCATTTTAATTTTATTTGGGTTAGAAGTTAGAGTTAATAAGCTTATTGCTGTCAACGGGGCCCTAGCTCAATAGAGAAAGACCTCTAACTTGCAAATCAGTTATCTCAAGTTCGAATTCTAATAATACTTTGATAGTGCGTATGCATGAGAGAAAACCTCATCTCTTGTGTAGTAAATTGAAGATAAAGTTTATTACCACGTCATCACTCCAAATTATTTAATGAATATAGTTAATCATTGTACTATTTAATAATGTTATTCTAAAGTCTAAACATTAAAAATGTATTAATGAATACAGCCGAAAGTTGGGAAGAATACAAAGCGCAGTGAATGGCAGTTTGGGCCCATCAAATCTCAATCATGACTGCCGTGTTTCCCTTTACATGCGCTGACAAAAATACAAAACGGTCATGCTGCTGATGGAGGAGTGAGGTGTGAAAACCCACGTCACTATCTCAGTCGTCAGCTTTTTTCCCAACTTTACTTTTTTCATTGGTTCAAAAAAATTGATGAAATAAATAAACATTAATAGTCATATCATATGTCGTGAATCGTGATCATCAATTGTTTTATAGGATATTTGACATCTTTTACAAGGTTTTAATCGATTTTCTATATAGTATTTCTACATAAAAACTAATCAAACTAACAAACATTTTGTCAAAAAAAGCTCATTCTTTGTTAAATACTTGTATTTGGTTTGATAGTTTTCGCTCGGACATTGGGTGTGTCTTGACATGTTACAAAGGCAAAAGTCTTAAAAAAAAACGAGTCGTTAAATATCATTATTAGAAAGAGACCTCAATGCCAACTTTTATAAAAAAGCTTTTTATGTTAAACATTTGTACTATTATGACAGTGGAACTCCGTTGGTTGGGTTCTTCTAACTTCAATTTTAAATTTACAACTTTAAAAGATCCGTTTTGATATGATAAAGATCTTCTCTATTATTATTTTTGTTTCTTTTGAAGGAAACAAAAAAAACAAAAAACTTTAGAAGTTTCATTTGATATCTGAATCGTAGAAGTCATGCATCAAAAGTAGGCCCTCAGGTTTGGAAAAAGACCAAAAATAGAATTTGATATGTGAGCAATTTGGGCTCCTGAGATCGTGCAAAGCTTACTAATAATGCAATATATATTTTTCAGCCGTTTTCGAAACTTCAGTTTGTAAAGGAGAACAGCATGATGCACTTTGTCGTCTAATTTCTATATCTACCGCTGCCTTGTAGGTTAAGCCAGAAACTTATATAATATAATTTTTTTTGTGCGTACATAATTCATCCACACATGCACATCCATTGAAAAAAGAAGAAAAAAACCCAACAAAAGAAAAGAGTTATTAGCACGTGTCGTGGGCCAAAGGTTTGAAATAATAAGACCATGGACGACCTTTTAGTCAATGCATGCAGGATATAAGCTGTTGCCTGCAAAGAGTTTGTTTGGACCGACTTTGAATCTCATAACATTTCTTTTTTGTAAGCAAAAAGCATTATCATCAAATAAGATACTTGATTGATACTTCTTTAAATACCCCTTGCAAGTTGCATGGCACTGTCCTCCTATAAATATGCATAGAGGGCAGCATTGCTTCATCTCACCATATCAATAAGCAATGGCAGCTCACTTTGAAAAATGCCTTACAGAAGCGGACACAGTGGGCAGATTGTCCCTTCCGATTGATTGGCTTGGGATACTGCCTCCGTTCGAACTAGGAAGCCGTGAGGTGGAGATTTGTGTTTCGGATGGGTTCGGGTCTTATTGGGAGTTTCGATGTTCCACTATCAAGATGGGCTTTTACCGGAAGCCCGTTCTTCAACCCGAGGGCTGGCTCAAATTTGTCGATCACAAAGGGCTCAAAGTTGGCGACAAGATCATTCTTGATTCCGAGCCCAACGACTTTATTGGACGCCATTTCAGAATTCGAGCACAAAAGTTGAACCATGAAGATGATAAATGGGTTGATGTTTAGCTCCTCCTTCTATATGAAATGATGTTAGGGTCCAATAAAGTCGTTGACGGCGTCCAATAAAAGGACCCAACGTCAACCCTTTTTTATTTTGTGTCACTCTTGTTTAGCTCCTTCTACATTTGTAGTATTCTTAATAAACATTCGGGTCATTCTGAAATCTTCCTTTTCACTCTTAATCCCACAACAAATTGCAAAAGTAGTTTACTTTTAAATTTTTATTAGTCCATTAACTTTTAATTAATTAATACTTTATGATCATGACTAGGTGTGGGCACGGTACAGTATGATACGGTATTGAACCCGTACCTCTATCGATACCGAAAATTTAAATCGGTATGGTACGATATGAGATTATCATTTGTCAAAATTGGTACCGTACCGTACCGTGCCAAATCGGTATCAATATGGTATCGGTACCAAAATGACACAACTAAAAAATGAACCAATTCAATATTCAACATATTCATTTACCAAAATAAGTGATGCCTAAGTTACAAATTCAAAGATTCAACATATTCAATATCCAAATCCTAATCAACATATTCAATATCCAAATCAACCAAATCAATATTTATCCATCAACATATTCATCATATCCAAATGGTTAAAATTATGCCTTATGACTTACAAAAATATAAACACAATGAGAGAATGAATTTTTTTTTTACATTTTAGTACTATTCGGTATGGTACGGTATTTATCGGTACCAAAATCTTGATACCGTTACCATACCATACTATATTGATACGGTACGGTACTGTACCGAATATCTCCCTATACAAAATGAAACGGTATGAAATTGGTATCGTACGGTACGGTTTCGGTATTTTGGTTTAAAATGCCCACCCCTAATCATGGCGGCCAGTTAATCAACTAGTACGTGACCAAATTAGTTCATCCATAATAAGAGCTTAATTTCAAACTGAAAGATACCATAAAGAAAAGGCCAGAAAGAACACTTGATGAGATCATAATTAAGTAATTAATTACAACAGAAAACTCATCATTAATTCACTCATACATCATATTCTGAGTGTAGAAAAACTTTACATGAACTCATACAAGTAGCTAAACATCAAGCCACCGATCACACTCTTTGTTCAACTTTTGTGCTCTAATTCTGAATTGGGTTCCTCTGAAATCGTTGGCCTCTGAATAAAGAACGATCTTGTCGCCAACTTTGAGCCCTTTGAAGTTGACAAACTTGAGCCATCCCTCCGACTGAAGAATCGGCTTCCGGTACCGTCCCATGGAGCGGCAAAATTCCCAAAAAAACCCGAACCCGTCTGTAACCTGAAAATGGACCTCATGGCTTCCTTCTTCAATTCGAGGCAGCACCGTAAGCAAGGAAATAGGAAGGGCAAATCTGCTCACTACATCTGTTTCTGTAAGGCATTTCTCAAAGCGGGCCGCCATTGCTTTATTGAATATGAATCTGCTTACTGTAATTCTAGTGCATTTATGAGGACGACAGGGCCAGGGGAATATAAGTAAATATATAAAGTTTGACAATGAGTAATTTCCCCAGCAAACCCTTTACTAGCTAGCTAGCTACTCTTGTCAGCTTATAAGCTTCACATCAGTAACAACGTAGAAACAGAGAAGAAACAAAGAAGAAACAGAGGAGGAAGCAGAGGAATGCATGACAAGATGCCATATGATTTGCTAGTTCATATATTTCCTTATATACCCCTGGCCCTGTCCTCCTATATAAACGTACTAGAATTACAGTGCGCAGATTCATCAATAAAGCAATGGGCTTTGAGAAATGCCTTACGGAAACAGATATAGTGAGCAGATTGTCCCTTCCGATTGATTGGCTTGGGACACTGCCTCCGTTCGAACTAGGAAGCCATGAGGTCAAGATTTATGTTTCGGACGGGTTCGGGTTTTATTGGGAGTTTCGATGTTCCACTATCAAGATGGGGCGTTGCCGGAGGCCCGTTCTTCAACCCGAGGACTGGCTCAAATTTGTCGATCACAAAGGGCTCAAAGTTGGCGACAAAATCATTCTTGATTCCGAGGCCAACGACTTTACCTGACGCCATTTCCGAATTAGAGCACGAAAGTTGAACCATGAAGATGATAAATGGGTTGATGCTTAGCTCCTTCTATATGAAATGATGTTAGGGTCTAATGAAGTCGTTGATGGCGTCCAATAAAAGGACCGAAACATCAACCCTAATTTCTTTTGGGTCATTCTTGTTTAAGCTCCTTCTACATTTGTGTTATTCTGAAATCTTCCTTTTAACTCTTAATCCCACATAATAAATTCTCAATTCGAAGTCGTACTCTCCATATCTATTTCACTTTTTCAGTTCACTTATCATAGTCGAAAAAAATCTCCAACTCAATGAGGCCATTCTAATATGGCCAAGACATACTTAAAGAATTGTGTATTGTGCTTGTTTGACTCAATCTCTAATTAAGTGACTGTTTTAAGAAGCCCCTTTGCTCATTTCACACAGAACCCTTAAAATCTCATAGCCCCGTCCCTACATCTACATTTAACAAGTACGCATTTTGGTGCATTTAATAAAACCTCAAGGATTAAAATCATCTAATGGTTCTCAGTAGGCCACATCGTACCATTGTTATGAATAACGTACACCGAGGTAAAAACTACATATTGTACGTTTCAATCTCAAATGATTTCATTCTGATGGCGATAGCGATTTTGTATATGCACATAAGGTCACTGTTCCAAAATAGTCTGCAGGTGAAGTATTAAGAAGACAAATGGTTTAAGAACCAGCGGGATCTTTAGACACATTGGTTTCTTTCTAGTACATTTCCTGGGATTATTGTCGTTATTTTTGGGTAATTGAACTACCAAGTAGTTCAATGTGCTACATTTAATTTCTAGGTGAAAAGAATATACTTCACTAGGAACCAATAGCCATTTCCAAAACTAAAATATAACATCATTGGCACGCATTACATTTGTATACTTCATTAGGAGCAAAATTCAAGTTCAAGCTCGTAAAACAAACAAGGAAAGCTAAAAGTTCTGATTTCACTAGGAAAAAAAAATGATGCGCACAAGAAAATTTGACAGATTATGTACCATGGAAAGAGTTCAGAAGGTCAAGCAATCTCCCTTCAAATCAGATCAAACAAGAGGGGCAAATGATTGATAAAACTCCTTCCTACATCCCATCTCGCATTGTCATGATTGGCATGTCATCAATACCTCCCCTGCAAAAACCAACCACCATGAGCCATCTAAAATTTCCCAGCAAAATCCTCTCATTTTTTCGTGTCGCCTTCAAATTATACTGATACTACCAAATAAGTCCAAGTTTCATCTTTATGACAAAAAAAAAGTCAGATTCATCTCAATTACTAAACAGTGAATCTCTTACTTGCTCAATTCCTGTCTGTCCTGTGGGTGCATAGTTGCTTTGTTCACCTTGCACATTCCTCTGCTCCCCTTGTGAAAACCTCTGATCTCCTCCGTACCCAGGGTAGCTCTGCCCATTACCAGAAGCTGTTACTGCTGTTTCTTGCCCAAAGGCTCCAGAGCTCGGTCCTTGGCCAAAGGCTCCAGAGCTCGGTCCTTGGCCAAAGGCTCCAGAGCTCGGTCCTTGGCTAAAGGCTCCAGGGTTCGGTCCTTGACCGAAGGTTCCGGGGCTCAGTCCTTGCCCATAAGCTCCGGAGCTCAGTCCTTCTTGCCCATAAGCTCCAGAGTTCGGTCCTTGCCCATAAGCTCCAGAGTTCGGTCCTTGGCTATAAGATCCAGAGCTCGGTCCTTGCCCATAAGCTCCAGAGTTCGGTCCTTGCCCATAAGCTCCAGCTGTTCCCTGGCCCTGAAATCCACCCAAACCTTGCCCATGAGTTTCAGTTTGTGGGGGAACATAATTCCTATCATCTCGCCTAAATCCCACCGGACCAGGAGGGGCATAATTCCTCTGATCTCCTTCTGGGAAGTTCCTTTGTTCTTGGGGATGATAATTTTGCTGCCCCGCTTGGTTATAATTGCCCTGATATGAAGGTACTGGATCTCTCCCTGGCTGATACGCATCCCTCCCTCCAGGGGTATTCACTGGTAAAGGGCCTCTGTTATCTCCTTGTCTTTGTGAGCCATAAGTTTGTGAAGGTCCATAGTTCCCTCTATCTTGCATAGGCCCCTTTATATTATAGGAGGGATTCCCTTGCTGATTAGGCGTCGGTCCTTGCCTATTGTATCTTGGTGGGTCAGGATTTCTGTTACGATCATTGTATCTCCCCTGCTGTCTTCCATAATGAACTGGGGGTGGTCTTGGATAGATTGTACCATTAACGTATTTGTCTCCTGATATATATAGAAAGCAATTTTAAATTGACAAAACTGCTAGATATAGATGGACCAGCTCATTGTTTTACAAGTCTTAAGGCAGTCCAAATACCATAACTGGTTGAATCTGCTGATAAATTGCAGCTCAGCATTCTCAAAAAGAACAAGCATTCATGTGGACGAAAACCTTACCTCCATATTCCTTGTTTTGTGGGTCAATGTAAGAATCTGGCAACACAAAAACAACTCCAGGTAAACCTGTTCCAGATAAAATGGAAATGTTAGAAACAGGACTCAGTACTATCATTCTCAATGGTAACAATGCTATCAACATTTACCTTCGAACTTCTGTGACTCTTCCTCAGACATTACGACCTGAAAGCCTGTGTACGTTGTAGTGCTACAAGCATACATCTTCTGTTTCGCCTCTTCCACACTGAATCATAAAATATATAAAAACTTATGATGAGCCAAAATCAATGTATATAAGACTGCAGCAAACATAATGCTAGCCTGAAAAAAAAGTTCAAGAAACTAGTAGCATCGACAAAATTGCACCCAGCAAACAGTTGATGATCAATACATAAATAGCCAATAATACATGCACCATAAAAGCAATTAGAATTATATTGTACAATTGGTAAAAGAGCTACAACAGAATGAACCACCAAGTATATTGTGAGAGGTTCGGAAACAAAATAAACAAAAAAGAAAGCTTCAAGTATCCTTAGGTGACCACTACGTTATAATGGGTCCCCCAGAAAATGTAGTCTATCTAATAGAGCAACTCTATTTGACAGTCATGGAGCACTATTTAACATGTACATATCCCTTTCCTCATTCTGTATCATGCAACTGTCCAACACTTACGAAACCAACAAGCTCTGTTTGCTTACATCCCAAAACCGCCCATCTAAACAAATCAAGAAAAAAAGAAGCAAAAATATATGCTTTAAAAAAATTCATACCCAAACCGATCGAAGGACAATTCATTCTGAATATCCAAAAAGTAGAAAAAGCTGACACAGGCATAGTTTCGATTTGAACACATTCTCTCTACATAAAAGGTACAATTCCCTATTATTCTTAGATACTGAAACGCACTGGGAGAGAGGGAGGCAAAAACACCACCTCATGTTGTTATGATACTGCCAGTTCTTCTCCACTCTTCTATTCTCAGTAAACAATCACAAGGCACAAGGATCCACAACTCAATTAACACTTCAACTCAAAATCTTCCCTTTCCCCCAAATTTTCTTAGCCACCAAACAAATTACCACAGAAAAAACATACATCATAAACATACGCGCACACGCGCGCACACACACACACACACACATATAGAGAGAGAGAGGGAGAGAGAGAGAGAGAGAGAAGGGCCAGGAAAGGAGTGTGACCTGATGTTCAAGCCTTTAGCACAGGTTTCCTCATAAGTTCTGACCATCTCCTCAGCCGGAGGCCGGTTGGTTTGCGGGTAATCCATGACAATGAGCCAGTGGTTGTAATCGCACCCTTCGAACAGTACCGTATTGGGGTCCATCTTCTCGTTTTGGTTGTTGTCGTATGGCGCCGATCGAGCAGAAGAGAGCGAGGACGACCTGAACGTCCGAGAATGGAGGAGGAGGGTCCAGGATTTCGGGTGCGATGCAGGCGATTGTGCTGAGGTGGGGCCATTGAGCATAGGAGAGGAAGAAGAGTGTGAAAATGACAGTGCAGAGGTTGCAGAGAGAGAGCGATGGAGGTTTGAGAGGGCGCAGAGGGTTCGGCGGAGTCGAAGAGAGCTCAGCGCCATGGCTGGTTCTGCTGGTGTAGGTGGACCACAAATGAGAGACTATGCTAGGGTTTTGAGAGGTTTGGTCTCGTCGGGGTTTTGGAGAAAGAGAACTCAACTCACTCCTGTATATTCTAGAAGGGGCCTTCTCCCCAAAAATAAAAAATAAAGGCTTAATTGCATTTACCCCTGAACTAACCCATAATTCTCAATTTACATTCTTGATTATTTTTTCGGTAAATTGAGGATACGAATTTGTTAAAAATAGCCAATTAGGTGTCTATTGTAGGGCTGGGCACGGTATGAGATGACACAGGATGGAGGTCATCCCGTTGTCAATCTCGAATAGGGAAATCGGAATGGGATGACACGGGATATAAGTTTTTGAAAACACATTCAAACCATACTGGACTCAAACGAGATCGGTATGATTCGGTATTAATGTTGATACTGTAAAAAATCTGCAAAAGTTCATAAATCAAGTGTAATACAATAAAACCCTCAATCAAGATTCAAGAGTCTTGATTTAAGACCAACTAATAAATGGAAATCTCATACAAAGTTCAAGTGAAATGGAAATCAAATCTCATACAAATAGCTTCTTGTGGGATACCTCATACATGTAACGCTCTTTCTTAGTCAACTTAACAAATGTAAGTCGCTTCGCTTCTCATTCTTCAATCAGTCTTTTATATTGTCCTAGGAGAATCATATTTTAAATATAATTGAGGCTACCTGGACTTATGAAGTAATTTGTGTTGTTAGGTTGCATGTTGTAATTTGAACTATATCTACTTACATTTCCTTCATTTTGCTTATGGACAAATTTTGGTGGGCGGCATGACCGTTGGGAAGAGTATTTGCTTGCAGTTTTGCTATGTTTCTACATGTAATTCGAGTAATTTTCCTGTGAGGTTTAATAGCTGCTTTGGAGAAGAATGGAGGTTTGATTTCCAAATTAAGTACCCCCTGATTTTTCTACATAGAAACTCAGAGAGACTTTGGGTTGGGGCTTTCCTTTTCAATTGGTTTGGAGAAGAACGGAGAAAGGGGGAGAGAAAGAGGAGAAGGAGGAAGAGGAGGAAGAGGAAGAAAAGAAGATGAGATCGATTGATGATGGAGGATTTGGGAATTATGGCTTCAAATCGTGACTAGAGAAAGGAGAATAGAAGAATTAGACAGACACAGAGAAACAAAGAGAAATATGAGTCGACGAAATATCTGTGCAGGAGAGTAGGGGTGGAACTAATCAAGGCTTGGAACACAAATGTGGGACTGATGTCGTGCCAAACAGTAACAGGATGACACAGTATCATTCCGTTTACACTTCAACACCAAACGGGAAAGCACGAGATTGGCATGGTTTCAGTATTCCGGTTTTGATGCCCACCCCTAGTCTACTGTTAGATTTTGAATGATTTTATCCACTTCTCCATTACTTTTCCCATGTAATTCGCACATAACCCACTTATGAAACTTCCCTCCTTATATTCCTTCCTAATTAGCCCCAGGCCCTAAAAGAGAACAACACTAGAATGTATGTTAGAGATAGTGATATTAGAAGAATCAAAATAACAACGAACTATCTTTGGTGAGCTAATCATTAGAGAGCAAATTTTTATAGAGAAAAGGAACATGAAGAACGTTAGAGTGACGAAAAGAATGAGAGTCTAAGGTAAGAGATATGGTACTAGTTTTAGAGATAGAAATAGTATCACTATTATTAAGAGCATCATTTAAGGAACTAAACTCAGAAGTGTGATACTATGACTAGTCATATGGTAGGTGGTGCCAATATCAGGATATCGGACATCAAGGCTAGTAGATGGATATAAGGTAGAGGAGTAAGAGATATACATCCAAGCAAAATGAGAATATGAAGCAATGAATCGATTATGACACATAGAAACATTATGACAAGTAGCGTGACAAATGGACCACCAAACAGATCCAAGAAGTCCATGAGAAAATGAAGCATAAGGAGCATCATAATAAGGCATTCGATACGAGAATGGAAACTGCCAAGGCTGCAATTGAAAGTAACCAACACCACGTCTAGGGTTGCGAGTAAGACCATAACCATGATAAGATGGAGGGAGTTGGGGCAGAAAGAGAAAGAGGAACCAACAACAACAACAAAAAAAGTTGTTGAGTGACGGTGAATGCATAAGCAATAGATGGGGAAGGTCGAATGGTTTTAGACTCAAAAGAGATGAGGTAAGCATGAAGATCCTTCAAAAAAGGCATATGAGGAAATTTAAGAATAACTATAATGAGCTTGGCATAATCAGAGCCAAGCCTAAGGAACACTGTCGTAACAAGATCATTATTGGTGACAGGTTGACCAATAGCTGCCAAAGAATCAACTCAAGACTTAACATATTGAAGGTATTCATGTATAGACTTCATTCCATTAAAGATATCCATAAGTTGAAATCAAATATTAGTTGCATTAACAACGTAAACTTCAGAAAAATGTTGACAAAGACAGTCCTAGCTAGCATGAGAGGAAAGGGGACCAACAATGATCAATAGATAGATTCAGATAAGATGGAGGTGAGATGACTCATAACGAGTTGGTCCGCCTTAAACCATGCAGTATAAACCAGTATAAACCAGAATAAACCAGATTGGCAGAGGCAGGCTGATCATTAGAACCATGAAGGGTTTGAGAAGAAGCCACATAACTCTCATCGACATATCTACATACATAATGACTAATAAGTAAGGGACGCATATGACTCTCTCATAGAAGGTAGTTAGCCTTAGAAACTTGAGAAATTAAGCAACATTGGAGCTAGAAAGAGATAAAGTAGGAGTCGGTGGAGCATCCATGAAAGAAGAAAATAGGTTGTAAAAAATAAATATGAGTTACGACAGAAGAAAATTGGTTAAGAGAAGTTTGTGAGAACCTTTGATACCATGTATGATAGTGAAACTCGATAATTTATCCATAGAGAGAAATCATGTATTTATACACCACAAGCCCATAGGTAAAAACGATGGAAACAGTAATCTACAAGAACTCTAAGAGAGCAGTTACATCCCATATGAAATAAGTAGTGCTAAAAAGGTAAGACATCTAACAAATCTTGAGTTCTACTAGTTTGGGTAGTGTAAGGTTTTTTTCCTTTCTATATTTTTGGACTTATATTTGAAGCTCCCAAAAATCTGTCCACTTGACTCCATCCTCACACCTCCACGGACAACTTCTATCATTGTCGAAGCACGTGTTGTGTGGCTGTTAGGCAGAAGACGTTAATAACGTGGCTCTGATACCATAAAGGTTGAAGTTCAATCCTAAATATAGTTAGCAATGGGGGAGTGACCCAATTCCTTATAAGCACATGCTAAGCTCTTTAATTTTTCTATGGAAAGAAAGAGAGAGGAAGGGATCGTTGGCACATGAGGCCGGTGTCAAGGTAGGGTGGGTGGTTGTGATGGGTTGGTTAAGCTATTGTGATTTCTTTTTAAATTTCATTAAGGGTGAAATTGTAATTTTAGGAGAAATTTTTTTTTAAGTATATTTAGTATATTAGGGTCCCGATTTAATTGGAGATGTGCAGTTCAGTTCAGCCCACCAAACAGAGCCTAGGGATGTGAATAAAATTTCATATAAATTTGGGATTATGAGGAGGATTTTATCCTCAAAAGACCAATATTACTTATTGTTTGAATCAATAGCTTGCTTCGCAACTTCGTAATGTACAAGAATAAATTCTTCTTTCAATTTCATATAAATGCTTAGCAAGACCTTTTGTTGTTAACCAAGGGACTATGTTGTTAAAGTAAGCTTTGGAGTAGTTCAAGCCCACAATATTTGGGCCAACATAAAATTTTCTAAGTTCGGCTTGTTGGGCCTTGGTTCAGAGCCGTGCCTATTCCGACTTATGAAATTTATAAATAAATGCACGAGATTGGCTTCTTTTCCGAAACTGTTATCATTATAATCAAAGTAATTTAATTGGACCGAATTATGATTTCATTTCTACCCGTTTTGTAAATAATAAAGGACCGTTGGATCTTTAAAATTCGCAAAGAGGGAGTTGTGGAGGGATGTGCTGCTTCTTCATGTGAGTAGGTTTTGAAGGGGACCTGCAGCACCATGCGACGCCATCACAGCCACACAGAGAAAGAGAAAGAGAGAGAGAGAGAGAGAGAGAGAGAGAGAGAGCGAGAGAGCAGCAATTCCAAAGCAATGGAAGGAGGGTTTGGTTAAAAAATCACACCTCTGACAAAAAACCAATCGATAAAAATAATAGAAATAAACTAAGCTCCTATGTTAAAAGAAGAAGATCCTACTATCATATTAAATTATTGAATTATTGAATTATTCAATTCAAACCCCCACATCCAACTTCACTTAACATTAATATATTACAGAACAACGTGGTCTAGCTTCATCTTACTATTTCCCACTTCCCCATTTCCTGGATCTTTCCTTTTTTCTTTACTTTTTTCCACTTGGGTTCCATTTTCTTGAGAAAGTTTCCAGCTTTCCAAGTAAGAAAGTTCAAAACTTTGAGAGTGTGACAGTTGATGGTTTCTTTTGTTGATACGAAGAATGGAGGTGGTGATACAGCAACAAAGGTCCTTGGCCGAGACACCAACTTATTCAGTGGCTTCGGTTGTTACGGTTATGGTGTTTGTGTGCCTTCTGGTTGAAAGGTCAATCTACAGATTTGGAAGGGTAAGCAGGTTGAGTTCTGATGTTGTTTCCTGTTTGTTTCCTGTTTGGTTCCTGCTTTTGCGTTTTAGCTTATATATTTGCTGATGTCTAGATTGTTCATCTAAGTTTGGAGATGTTTGAGAGGAAACAAAAAGTTATTTGTAGTGCTGCATTTGGTTGCTGAGAAAATGTCAGAACTGAATAATAGAAAAGATTCAAAGAACAGAAAAAGAATTTCTGTTTTCCAGCTATGGTTTTTATTTGTCAGGGGCCCATGTAGCTATCTGGCATAGTTTAATTTGGTTTGGAGAGGATTGAAAATAGTTATGCAATAAATGATGATGCTCTGTTTGGTTACAGAGAGTGTTTAAGACAAATGCTGATTTATAGATTCTTTAGCCAGCTAGCTACATTCTTGAGGAAGACGTCAGCTGTGTTCATGAACTCTATTTGGCCTATGAGAATTTCTGTAAAAATGATTTTTT